GATCAATCTAACCATAAGCCATGTTAGCGTTAAGTTAGCTTTGCATGCTAAACTGATTAACGTGCCAAGAAACTTTTTTTTTTTGAGTTCATTCTCGCACTGAAACCTCTGATGCAGAAGTTGCTGCTGCTGCAGGCATTGTTCCTTTCCAAGAATCATCTCACCTGAAACTATTAATGTGACACACAGTGCTTTTACTTACAAATTCATTATTTTGAATTGAACATATATAGAAGTCATTATAATCCATAATTATGTCCCCACTTGACGCAACAAATGCCTCGTTTATAATGGTTTTTATTGTTTTTGTCTCTTTGCACCGGGACACGGCATTACAATATGGTAAGGTCAATCACAACGCACTGGATAGCTGGCCAATCACAGCACACCTCGCTTTTCAGAACGATGAGCTTTGTAAAAATCGATGCGTTTCAGAAAGGCGGGGCATAGAGGAGAAACAATAATGTACAGTATGTGGAAAATAATGTGTTTTTTGAATCTTAAACCACAAATTTCATTACACCAAATACACAAAATAATCTTCTTTTTTAGCAATGTCATATGACCCCTTTAATAAAATTGTGTATAATGTTGTGTCATTTCAATTCCTTTATTATCCTGCAAGGAGTTGTACTAATCTTTATTCCTCTTGGATTAGAAATAAAGTTGTTTTTATTCATGCTGTGTTCATTTTCATTTGAACTTCTGTTCATTCTCACCCATAATTCTGAATCAGCAGTTTTTCATGTACATTCAATTTCTGCACTGTTTGCTCTTCCTGCTCTGCACTGTGCTGCAGCCCCTTCAGGGGCTTGGCCCCGTATATTTTCTTTTATATTTCTATATAGCGTCAAAATTTTTTAGTCACTTTAGCACTTCAAATTATTTTAGTTAGGCGCAAAGGCAACATTTCTAATTATTATTTTTTATCTAATATTTGTTTTATTTCAGCTTTACTTCAAAATGAAAATAATTTTAAATAGTTTTATTTAACAATAACAACACTGTTTTGAAGACAAACGTCTTTTTCTTTGGGAAAAAAATTACACTAATGAATCATGCATAAAACCTGGAATTTTTATAAAGGGTCCACTTTGATTTGTGGTAATTAGATTCAAACACAATAACCCACTTGATCTTAGAACAGAAAAACACTTGCGAGGTAATAAAAAAAATGGCCACTTTAAAAATGTTTCCTACCTTGTTAATGGGAATAATGAGGCTGGGCTCCACTTTTGCTTGGATTTCTTCAGGAGAGTAATAGCATGAAATCTGTCCAGCCTTCAGCACACAGAATAGCTTACAGCGGCGCTGCAAACCCTCAATGCTTTGCTAAATGGACAATCAAAATGCTGATCTTACAAATTTCATTTACAAATGTTAGTATGAATT